TGCTGTAAAACAAAAAGATGAAATGGAAGAAAGGCAACCCCGAACATGTTTAAATGTATTAGGATAAAGAATAAACTATCAAAAAATTAAGAGAATATATATGATTAAAAATGGAGAAATTAGAACTTGAGGGTGAAAGGAGATGTTGTTTATATAAATTAGAATAGAAATATTAAGATATGTTTTAAAAAATATGGAAAAAGAATATTTTGGCAGAAATTGTAACTAAGTAAAATGTATTTGGATATGGCAAATTGTATATGATATGATATGGTCAATACTCTGTTTCATAAAATATGTGGGTGTGTTTGTGAGGAAAAAAAAAAACTAATAAAACTTGATTCAGAAAAAAACAAAAATCCCCGTAGCTGAGAAACCCTTAATCACCTTTTTCCACTGGGAGAATCTTGTCCGATTCCATAAGCAAGCAGAGCAGCCGATGGTTCGTGAATTAGTCGAAGAACATTAAGTCCAGCACCTTTAGCAGCTTCTCTGTAACAAACATGACTCCAGAAATCAGATAGAACCCCAACAGCCTTTTTCCCCCATAAAAAAACCCCAGGATGGTTCTTGTATGTTATCCTAGGTAAATCTAAACCAGTGATTCCCATTCTTGTCAACTTCTAGATGTATAAATGTCATCTTTGGAATTAGTGGGTGAGTGGAGGGATCCTGTACATTTAATAAAGCAAAAAAAATGATAAAACTTCCAGAATTTTACAACTCAGCCATGGAAATGGCAGGCGGTTTAAGAGTTCACAGAGTTTCAAGTTACCAAGATTAGAAAACTATTTTTGAACCATTCCAGATATAAGTTGTCTTAATATCACCCACACTGCAATATTATGCAAGGAACGGAGCATTTTATTTCGTTAAGTTACACCAACATGTAAAAGAAAAAGAGGGGGGTTGCAGGAAATTAACATTTATATTCACTCCTGCATCAAATTCAGGACATTTCAAATTTGCATCTACTTTCAATATATTTGTATTTCAGTAATGCGATAACCACTATGATAGCAGCAGTATTTAAACACCTAATACAGAGAGGAATTGTTTTAGCAATAGATGAAAATGCGAATTGGTGTTTGAATGCAACTTTCAGTATTTGAAAGGGATAACCCAGCATACATTTTAAAACAGTTTTTGTGTGTCTTTCTTAGAAAAAAACATATCCTAGAGGAAAAACAGGAACAGGGTAGCTTGTACTGGTAAAACTGGTAAAAGATAGCTAAAATTTCTTCTAGTTTGGCTTGTTTTTCCCATGAAAAAATTCAAGATGATCAGTCACTGTTTATTTGAGACTTTTCTCTTCCGAAAGATGCGAACAAGGCAACAGCCAGAGAAACCAAAGTGTGATATTTTGTGTGGCTGATGAGCCGGGGTTTCAAAAGGAGGTCTGATCCAGGCAAAACGCCCCGTCCATAGGATCTGACCTCTATGAACTCCAGAAACTGCATTTACGGGAACCAGACTCACCCAAGAACTCTTTTCTGCGTCTCTCCAAAATCGAAAGGCACGGTAATCACGGTGTCATTCACATCCGAACCCAATGCGAATTGAGCCGTTTCTAGAGAAACATATGATGACGTACCGTAATTCATAAAAGCTGTTTCATTGCCCAGAATTTAGCATCCCCCCCCCCCCCAACCTGAATACCATACCTTTCATTTTCCTGAAGATTAACTTTGCAACATCTTCTGGAGAAACAAATTTGCCCTCTATCTCATAAGTAAGTTTTCCGTTCTTTTCGGTGACCTATGGACATATCAACCCCAAGTATTCCTTAGGTTAGTTGAACTATGAGAGAAGATTTTCAATGAGCACCCCCCATGTTTTGCTTAAGAAAACATTCACAGCATTTCTGATCCACCCACAATGCCAGTTAGTTTATATTAAAAAGAAATTAAGAAGTCATTTTACAGGCGCCTTTCTATACCAGCACCTCCGAATGTTGTTGGCTACATGGCTAGGAATGGAGGAAACCGAAGTCCAGCTGATGGTTGAATAGCTGGACTACAGCAAGCATGTGAAAAAATCTACAAATATCACTACTCCCACAAAACAAAAAACTAAGCATTCTTCTGACAATTTTGCAACTTAATCTCAGTACATTATTATTTTTTTTTACCATAAGCATCTCGTTGATTTAAGAGTGTTGTACAGCAATAGCTAAATATAACATTTTCTGATCGTTAGAAGAATTAATCCGTGGAATGGCTTGTCTGCAGAAGTTGTGGATACTCCAAAACTGGAAGTTTTTAAAAAAAGACTGGGTAACAATCTATCTGAAAGAGAGTAGGCGTTCCTGCCTGAGCAGGGGGTTGGACTAGAAGACCTCTAAGGACCCTGCCAACTCTGTTATTCTGTTATTTAACATCTGCGTTAGGGAAGTTTACGATTATTTACATTGTATCAAACTTCTGAAATTAAGAAATCAGACTTGTTTTGTTTAACTTTGTTCTTTTGATGTGCTAATTCACTAGGCCTTACTCTGAATGCTTTTTTTTTCCTGGAACATCAATCAGATTGAAAAAATAAAAAGGGAAAATATTGCTCTGGCATATCCTTAGGAGCTTCTTGGAGAAGTGAAACGTCTTCAAGGAAAAAAACCAGTTGCCTTGTGGGGAAAAAAAGCACCTTTGGGACCCAAATTCATACATTTTCCCTATAGGGGAAAAAATGGCAAAGCATGCCCTCACTTACTGAACATTTACTTTCTGCAATGTATTTTTCCGCTTGTGGGTCTCCAGAGCTGAGAAAACAAGCAAAATTAGAAGATACTTTAAAAATATTAAAACTTAAAACAAGCAAACAAAAACAGTACATTGTTTGTTTTCATTGAATGGGAGTCAAGTTTCATGAGTTCAACTTTCACTCCTGATTTAAGCAGTATAATTTCTGTACATCTTTAAATAATGGGGAAGAAAAACAGATGAAAAATATAAATTAACCTCAGCTACTTTATTAAACAACAGCGCTGAGACTTGAGTACAGCCAAAACAGACCAGTCAATAATTACATTTTAAAAGGTAACCATTTATTCAGATGCATGCTAATGGAGTACACAGTAAGCTTTTAGAGGATATTTTGTGGCATAATTCATACCTTCTTCCAAGAATCTGTTTCACTTTCACTACAGTATTTGAGAGATTTCTGACCCGGTTTTGTTTCGCTGCCAGACCAACGATCTAAGAAAAGCATTTAAGAGGGGGTTTTTTAGGGGAAAAAAAAGTTACATAACTTTGGCTCAAAATGTTTTTTAAAAAAGAAATTTACCTCTTCTTTTTCAGAGAAGGCAACAACAGCAGGAGTTACTCGGTCTCCAGCGTCATTAGCCACAACATCTGCACGGCCATCCTACAACACACGAGCACACTTACTAAGACTTATGTTTAATCAAGGTCCTTATGTTTTGTAAAGTTAAAAAGGAAAGCTCAGTGATAGATCCAGGTTTTATTATTATTATTTTAGAAGAAGGTATAAGACCACAAATTTAAATCTCTGTTCAAAAAGATACCATGACTGATCTTCTTTACTTTGGTAGGGAGAAAAAAATAAAGAGAAATCCTTACAAACCAACGTGATTCAAATTTAATAAGTCAATTTTACAATTCAATCAGTACAAGTATCTGAAATAAACTCAATGAGTTCAGATACAGCAAGGTAGCATCCAATATTCACTCTTTGTGGATCGTAACAAACTATAAACTATTAAGAGGCTGTTTTATAACAAATGGGATTATTTTTTCCCCTGGAAGGCGTATTACACACAGTTCTTAAGAAACCCCCTTCAGAAATCAATATTATTTTTTCCTAATTTTACTTTATTTTTTAATTATTTTTTCCTAATATTGGCCTAATTTTAACTTCATCAGATAAGCCGCCTTTGAGGTACTGAAGGATGAATGGAAAGCAGCTCCTACATCAAAAGCTTGGAAAACTTTCCAGGCTCATTAAAACCCCATTAAAAATAAGCAGCCCTTCCCTAAAAAAAGCATTACAATCCATCTATCTCCCAGGGACAGACAGCGCAGAACAGTTTATGAGTTGCCCTTTTATGGCTTTTCTGCTTTTGATTTAAAATATATATATATATTTATTTGGTGAATTGCTCCCATTTTTGCAACTCTTCCTATATATACGCACACATACATATATATATATATATACATATATATATGCATATATACATACATGCATACATACATACTATACACACACACACACACACACACACATATTATAAGGACGAGTTGCAAAAATGGGAGCAATTCACCAACGTGGTACAACTTACAACCCCCCCAAAAAAACACAATTGCAAAAAATAAAACCCAACTTTTTTTTTGCAACCTCGCCCAAACCTTTTGCATTAGACCTCCTGAGTCTAATTCAAGCCCCCAGCCCCAGCTTCAAAATGCAACCTCCCCATTTGCAAAAAAAAAAAAAAAAACCTCATTGGAAGCAGAAAGCTAGCATCTCAGCCTAAGCCTTCTCTAGAACCCTGCCTTCTTTTTGCAAATGAGCCCCCCCCCCCCTGCCTTTGCAGCAGGAGAGCCATGGACCCCCCCCGGAAGAAAGCCCCCCCCAGCCCTCCCCTCTCCCTGCCCCCTCGCGTAGAAAGCTAGCATCTCAGGGTCTCTCCGCTCCCAGGACCCTCCTTTTTCTCCCAAGGCAGCTTTTACCCCCGTTTCCTCCCTTTTTAGGGACAAAACGACCCCTCCCCAGTAAAAACCGCCCCCCCCACCGCCCTGAGCCCCCTCCTCGCCTTATAAACGGCCGCGCAGGCGCAGCTGCTCCCCAAGTGGATGCCGATCGCCGCCATCTTTGCCGCCCTCGCCTACCCACAATGCACCGGGAGCGCCGCCCCATTATCATCATCTTCTTCTCCGCCTCTTCTGTTGGCCCAGGCGCCGCGTGGCCAATCCAAAAAAAGGGCATGCGTGACGTCACTCCACCTAGCAACCGAGGCAGATTTTTCGCTCAGCTGGCCCCGGGCAGCTGCTGGTTGGTCTCTTGCAAGGGAATTGCAATTCTTTTTGCAAGCATGGCGCGTCGCGGGCCGTTGCACGGTTGCATTTTAGCAACCCTGCTGGTGGCGGCGCTCTGTTTAAGCCCCGGAGCTAAGGGGGCGCCTTCTGCCACCGAAGCTCGGTGCGAAGGTGAGGAAGGGTGCACAGGCGCGCCTGTGTGCATGTGTGTGTGTGTGTGTGTTGCAACCCGCGTGCAAAATGAACTCCTTTTCTGCTGCTATATTTAGCCTGTTGTGAATTCCAGCACGGCTTGCTTCCTTGCATGCACCTCCGGAGATTCTGAGAAGGAAGACCGGCCGTTTTTGCAAACTGCCTGGAGTTGTGGACTTTTGCATATATTTTTAATTTTTAAAAAAAAAAAAAAATTAACGTCCCCAAAGGCAGAAAATCCTCTGCCTTTGCTTCCTTGCACGGTTGCAAATACTGACTCACCTTTCCAGATGTGCTAAGCAGGGTTTTTCAACCTGGGTTCCTTTTTTAAGATGGGTGGACTTCAACTCCCAGAATTCTGAGAGTTGAAATCCAAAAGTCTTTAAAGTTGCCAAGGTTGGGACCCCCCTTTCCCCCCCCCCCTGTTCTAGGCAGATAAAAGAGAGAGAGAGAGCGACTTACGAACATTTTTTTCACACTTATGACTGCAGCAACCCCCTGGTCACGTGATCAAAATCCAGACCCTTGGCAATGGACTCATATTTATGACAGTCACAACATCCCAGAGTCACTTGATCGATCCCCTTTTGGGAGCTTCTGACGAGCAAAGTCAATGGGGAAGCCAGGTTGACTTCTAACAGTCTTAACAACGGCACTGATTCGCTTAACAACTCTGGCAAGAAAGGTCATAAAATGGGACAAAACTCATTTATCTGTATTGCTTAGCAGCAGGAATGTTGAGCCCAATGGAGTACGACTCATGAAAACATTACTTCAGCTTTAGTTCGGAAAAACAGCTCACCTTAGTTACAGGAATGGATGCAGGTAAGCCCAGGTGACCCCCAAGGACATTTAACTGGGCATCCCCGACATAAATTAAGGGATATATAATTTAATTTAATTTAATATTTAAATTTATATACCACCCTTGTCCCGAAGGACTCAGGGCGGTGAACATCCATAGGTAAAAAACATAGAATACAAAATTTAAAAACAATTAAAAAATACATTAAACAATTTGGCCCGACAGTTAAAATCCCCCATTTAAAATTAAAATTAAAATTACACCATTGGAGAGTTAGGCCAGCCCGCTTGATGAAATAAAAAAGTTTTGAGGGCCCGACGGAAAGTACATATATCTGGAATCGTCCGTATCTCCAGGGGGAGCTCGTTCCAGAGGGCAGGTGCCCCACAGAGAAGGCTCTCCCCCTGGGGGCCGCCAGTTGACATTGTTTGGCCGATGGCACCCAGAGGAGCCCCTCTCTGTGGGAGCGTACCAGCCGGTGGGAGGCTCTCAGTGGCAGAAGGCGGTCTCGTAAGTATCCAGGTCCTAAGCCATGGAGCGCTCTAAAGGTGGTCACCAACACCTTGAATTGCACCTGGAAGACCACTGGGAGCCAGTGCAGCTCACGCAAGAGAGGTGTTACATGGGAGCGCCATGACGCTCCCATAATCCCCTGCGCGGCCGCATTCTGGACCAGTTGGAGCCTCCGGGTGCTCTTCAAGGGGAGCCCCATGTAGAGAGGGGGGAAGTGACAAGGGCATGAGTGACCGTGCGCAAGGAGTCCCGATCCAGAAAGGGATGCAACTGGCGAATCAGGCGAACCTGATAGAAAGCCCCCCCTGGCCATGGCCGTCACATATTCTTCTAAAGACAGCCGTGCATCCAGGAGGACACTCAAGTTGCAAGCCCTCTGCGTGGGGGCCAACGACTTGCCCCCAATAGTCAGAGATGGCATCAACTGACTGTATCGGGACGCCGGGAGCCACAGCCACTCGGTCTTGGATGGGTTGAGCTTGAGCCTGTTCCTCCCCATCCATAAGTGGTCTCCCTGTTGCATCCTGAACGTCAGTATACATTTGTGTTTCCTCTAGGTGGCATAAAGCCATCGTAACGTTACCAGATTAAGGACGGTCTTGCTTCGAAAATTATTATCACGTGTAGGAAAAGTCCTGTTCTTTATCAGGAGTCACGGAGCTGCTGGTTTTGATTACGGCAAGAATACCCCAAACAGCCATGTCTCCAAATGTATATCATTTTTTTTAATTATTTGGAATGCGGGATCAGATTTCAGCGGCAGGAAATTCAAATGTCTAAATATCTAAAATTATCTCGCGGCATTCGCGTAAAGCTTGATCTCACTTTGTGGGATGGGTGAATAAATAATGACAGTTATAACTATATACCCGAACAAGATTCAAACAGCTTGATGAAAGAGAGAAGCAACCTGGAATTAAAGACAAACTTCCTAACAGGAAGGGGACAATCAATCAGTGGAACAGCTTTCCACCAGAAATTGTGGCTGCTCCATCACTGGAGGATTTCAAGAAGAGACTGGACAGCCACTTATCTGAAATAGTAGAGGTTCTCCTGCTTGAGCTGGACTAGAAGATCTCCGAGGTCCCTTCCAGCTCTGCTCTATTCTATTCTATTCTATTCTATTCTATTCTATTCTATTCTATTCTATTCTATTCAAGTCAACAGGACACCAATGCACCTAAAGGTGCTTTTTTCAAAAGGCAACTGGACTTTCTTAGTTTTTCCTTGAAGACGTTTCACTTCTCTTCCAAGAAGCTTCTTCAGTTCTAACTGAACTGAACTCAGAATTGAAGAAGTTTCTTGGATGAGAAGCGAAATGACTTCGAGGAAAAACTTAAGAAAGTCCAGTTGCCTTTTGAAAAAGCACCTTTGGGACAACGGTGACCTGGAGGATGGAGCATCTCCATGGACATAGGCCCCAAATGCCCCAAATTATACTAAAATTATACTAATTATACTAAAAATGCACTTTAAAGGAGCTCCTGGCTGTATAATATTTGAATATAGGTAGTCCTTGATTTACAACAGTTAGTGACAGTTGAAAGTTAAAACATCACTGAAAAAAGTGACGTATGACTGTTTTTCACACTTAATGACCGTTGTAGCATCTCCATGGAAATGTGATTTACATTCAGATGCTTGGCAATCGACTCACATTTATGACAGTTGCAATGTCCCGGGGTCATGTGATCCTCTTTTGCAACCTCAATGGAGAAGTCCGATTCACTTAACAATCATGTTACTAACTTAACAGCTGCAGTGATTCACTTAACAACTGTGGCAAGAGAGGTCGTAAAACGGGGCAGAACTCACATAACAAATGTGGGGGAATGGCCTACGCTTACAGGAGTTTGATACAATAAAACTGCAAGCATATGATAATGTCTTTTCTATATTTAGACACTGAAAATTCAAGGAAGGAAGGAAGGAGGCAAGGGAGAGGGGAAGGAAGGAAACCAGGGAGAGAAGAAGGAAGAAATTTCAACCTAAAATGAGTTTTGAATTTTATTTGCATTTGTTTTCATTTTATGAAATACTAATGAATTCTACCCTTCAAGCTGGAAGGTTTTGGTGATCCATTTGTTTAACTTGACACATTTTGTGCATTATGTGTGTTTACTTTTTCACTTCTTGTTCTTTTTACAGTGTGTCAAGATTTTTTGGAAAGATTCTACAGTTCTTTGAAAGCAAAACATTCTGATTTCTCCATGGCTTCTATAGAGGAGGAATTAATTAAGGCCTGCATAAACGCAAAAGGCAAAGAACTCCGCTTGGTATGACCTTCTCTCTTCTTCTTTCCACCAGCTCAGTTTAGATAAAAATGTGTGTCCTTCAAATCCATTGTGACCTCTAGTAAATTCACCCACACGGCCATGCCGTTTACTTTCACAATACAACAGAACCGATTTGCAATTTTTTCCTTCTGGAGTGCATGTGGGTTTCTTACACACTTTTGTCTGAACTTACACCCCGGTCTGTCTGGTTTTCCTTAGTGGTCCCCTATCCAACTACTAATGAGACCTATCATCGTGCAGCTTCTAAGTCCTTGAGATAATTTCGTTCAAAGACTTCCGGCTATGAAAACTCAGGGAAGAGAACAAGGGTGTCCTGGTTCCTAACCATTCATTTCGCCTTTGTGTTATTTTTCGTAGTGCTATTACCTTGGGGCCACCGAAGACGCAGCTACCAAGATCCTCACTGAAGTCAGTCGTCCAATGAGAGCGGTCACATCCTGTGACCAAAATCTGCGAGAAACTGAAGAAAGCCGATATTCAGATTTGTGAACTCAAACATGGTATGGATGAAATCAACAAATGTAGGATGGTTAAGCCTGTGATTAAGAACCTTCCAGCTCTTGGCACAGTATTTACAACTCGTTTACTCCTCGTGGAAAGGCACTGAGTCTGTGTGTGTGAGAGCAATAGAAAGAGAGGTGGGGGGAGAGAAAGAGAGGAAGAGAGAGAGACAAAAGAGAGATAGGGAGAGAGCGATGGAAAGAGAGAAAGAGGGAGGGAGAAAGAGAAGAAGAGAGAGATGGAAAGAGAGAGAAAGAAAGAAGGAGAGGGAGAGAAAGAGAAAGAGATGGAAAGAGGGAGAGAGAGAGAGAAAGGGGAAAAGAGATGGAAAGAGAGAGGGAGAGAGAAAAGAGAAAGATGGAAAGAGGGAGAGAGGGAGAGGGAGGGAGAGAAAAGAGAAAGAAAGAGGGAGCGAAAGAGAGAGAGAAAGAGGGAGGGAGGAGGGAGAGAGAGAAGGTAGTGGTTCTACTTATTGTATTAGCAAAATTCTAAACATCTGTACACAGGCCTGTGTCCAAATAGTATCCGTGCCCACATGTTCAGTCCAGAAATATAAACCTAAAGGAACTTTAAGAAGGGAATGCAAGACTGCTTGAGTTGATCTAAAGTTTTCCAGAGGGTTTGGCATATCCCATTAAGAAGGGTAACCCAACTGCGTTCAGAAAAGAAAAACGAGAATGAGAACAATTGGTGAGGCTGTGTGTGTATAGAGTTGTGTTATTAATTATTTCCATATTAGGAGGCACCACATCACTTGAGGTTTTCTGCATTCAAAACCTAGAAATGGAATGAGCCAAGGAGAAACATTTGGGAAGTTGTAAGCTAGTGCAGGGGTCTCCAACCTTGGCAGCTTTAATTTTGGGAATTTTAGGAGTTGAAGTCCGCCAGGCTTAAAGCTGCCAAGGTTGGAGACCCCTGAGCTAGTCAAAGCACAGTGACCAAGAAGCTTTCTTCCCCATGATGCTAAAAGATACAGGTACAAAAAGAATGAGGATGCCAATGAATTCATAAAACAGGATCTCTGCAGCATCTTCTAGCTGACCATAAGGAGGTCGACAACATCTTCCAATTCCTTTTGTTTCTCCTCCAACCATTCCATCAGGTTTGCAGTTAGGTGACCTCTGGGAGGGAGGGATGGGTGGGTCACGTCAGGCTCATGACCCCCACCCTTCCGGCCAGTTCCTGGGTGTGGTCGTGTGGGGCCATCCCTGCAATGGGGGAGAAGGTCTGAATTCCTTTGAGAAATCACCATGGAAGGTGGCTCTGTTGCTATGAGGCCTTGTGATCTTCTCTGAACATTTCACTGTTTCTCTCTGCAGCATTCAGAATAAGAAAGTTAGAAGGGACCTTAGAGGTCTTCTAGTCCAACCCTCTGCTTAGGCAGGAAATCCAGCACCACTTCAGACAAATGGTTATCCAATCTCTTCTTAAAAACCTCCAGTGTTGGAGCATTCACAACTTCTGGAGGCAAATTGTTCCACTGATTAATTGTCCTCACTGTCAGGAAATTTCTCCTTAGTTCTAGGTTGCTTCTCTCCTTGATGAGTTTCCACCCATTGCTTCTTGTCCTTACCCTCAGGTGCTTTGGAGAATAGCTTGACTCCCTCTTCTTTGGGGCAGCCCCTGAGATATTGGAAGGCTGCTATCATGTCTCCCCTAAGTCCTTCTTTTCATTAAACTAGACATACCCAGTTCCTGCAACCTTTCTTCATATGTTTTAGCTTCCAGTCCCCTGATTATCCTTGTTGCTCTTTTCTGCACTCTTTCTAGAGTCTCCACATCTTTTTTGTCTGGCCTTCTGGTTCTCTAGGTTGACCCTCTCTTCTTTGTGACAGACCCTCAAATATTGGAAGACTGCTATCATGTTGCCCCTTTTCATTACACTAGACATATCCAATTCCTGCAACCATTCTTCATACTTTTTTGGGGTCATCGTAGCAAGTTGGTTTGGTGTATATATGTATTTGTAGATATCTGACTTGACTTATCTGCTTTTACAGAAAGACAACTTGATTTAACTTCGGTAGATCTATCCAAGATGAGAGTGGCTGAGCTGAAGAAGATCCTGGATAGCTGGGGAGAAGTTTGCAGAGCTTGTGCTGAGAAAACAGATTTTGTGAACCTGATTAAGGAGGTTGCTCCCAAGCATTCTGCTCCTCCTGCTAAAACTGACCTTTGATGGATGCTACTTCCCCTGAATGCTTTCCACACAGCCTTGAGCCTGACTTCACGGTTGGCCTTCATTCACTGAAGAAATTTAGGAAATTGCTCCCAGAACTCCATGGATCTCAGGGACTTCTGCAGCAAAGCAGAAGGAGAAAGAATCCAGTCAATGGACTGGGCGAAAAAAAGATTTCTCAGTCATAAAAGCACAGAAAAATAGTAGAATCTTTTTGCAATTGGATTAACGGACCCAGGCTTGAAGGACAGTAGAAGACTGCTGGGGACGGGGATTATTCTCAAAATAAGAAATGCTTTCTCGAAATTTCAATCCCTGCCTCCACTTTGACCGGGTGATCTCTTTGGATCTCAGTCAAGGTGTTCCTCGATTGGTCGAGTCCCCTATTTATTTTCTCCACCCATCCCTGCCAGGAAATATTGATCTTGGTATGTCTGTGTGTGTGTGTGTGTGTGTGTGAGAGAGAGAGAGAGAGAGAGAGAGAGAGAGAGAGATTCAAATCAGCTAGAAGTCAAGAGGGCACATTACAACACAAATCCTCCTGGCTTTTGGGCAGGTGTTGAGCTCACATGCGTGTTTGAAGAGGGCGGAGCTTGCATGGTGTCCCTCCATCTACCACACTGGTGGGATTCACCGGTTATCACAACTGGTTCGCTGTGTGTCCATTTCTGCACATGCTCAATACGATCAAAAATTACTTTCTACTGAATCCAGAGTGAGTAAAACAGTGGAGTCACGGCAATCCGCTCTGCTGCACCTATCAGCTGGGCTTAAAACAAAATAAATATAGGCAGGTTATAGCGCAGGGGTGGGCAGGCAGGCCCAGCTAATCATCGGAACTACCGGTACGCCCGAACCGGTCAGAACCGGCTGAATCCCACCTGTGATCTACCACCTGGTCAAGGTTGTCCCTTCCCCTCCAGGTGCCCCTGCCAGGAAAATAAGGGCCACCTGCTTTGCCTTCCATGGGAATGTCGTTTGTGTACCGGAAAAAATGCAGCCATCACCACCATGTAAGAGTCCCTTGGACTGGAAGGGGAAACTTGACAGAATCTTTATCAATTTCTCCCTTCTTCAAAGAGAGAGAGAAGAAGGGAGAGAGAAAGATGATAGAGATGACAGATAGACAAACAGATGGACAGATGGATGATAGCAGATCAGCAGATAGATGATAGAGAAAGAGAGATATGAGAGAGAGGATAGGTATTAGATAGATAGATAGATAGATAGATAGATAGATAGATAGATAGATACCAATAGATAGATGAAAGGCAGAAAGAAGGAAGGAAAAAAGAAAGGAAAGAAAGAAAGATAGGCAGATAGATGGACAGACAGACAGATGATAGAGAAATAGAGATGATAGATACTGTAGATGTGTGTGTGAGAGAGAGGGAGGAGGGGGAGGGAGGGAGATGGCCAACATTTCACCTTTCAACTGTTGACTCTGTCAAAAGAGGAAAAAAGCCGGGATCAGCCTTCTGGGCCGGCAGCCAAGCTGCTCCCTGTGAAACAGCCATTGAAGGCAAAAGGCAGGGAGGGGATTGGGAATTTCTTCAGATCTTTGTCACTGAACATCATCCAAGTTTCCCAACTCTATGAAATCAGGTTCAAAGGGGGAATTTCTTTATTTTCACCCGATGCTGTGGATTTACCAGCCAATGGAAGAAAAAGCAGACTTGACATTTGCAAATACATTGCAAGAAGAAACTTGGGTCAAAGTGGGTTGGTTGATGTATTTGAATTTACTAATGCTGCTTTAAAGGCTTGAATAAATTTTCTGGGTGCTTTTTGTATTCTTCAGTTGTTCAAATGGAAATGGAAATATTAAAATGTCAGTGTTCTCGAGAAAAATTACCTCTGCGGAGAGTCATTTTTCAACCCTCTGACAATCCAGGGGGGAAGTAACAATGGCTAAGTCAGAGAGAATTAACCTGTGCTTCATGCAAAGGTCATCGTTCTCCGAGAGACGGAGAGCGGTTTCAAAATCATTCAAAGAAGTTGTGGAAGAAATAGGACAGCAGCTAAAATCCATCTTGGAAAACCTCAATCTAAGAAGCTCAGTTTGTGATGTGCCAACGGGTGAGAAAACCTGTGTGCACCTGCAGTTTTGTCATAGTTGAGTAGATCGTGAAAACAAAACGAACGTCCATCAAAAGAAGGTGACGTCCATCCAGATTGCAATAAATTTGCCATGGGGTGCGTTGTGGGCCTTCAGAAGAAACGGGGCAATGAGAAGGCCAGTTATGCTATTGTCATGTTGTCCAAGATAGACACACTGAAGCTCTCACAGCTCAAGCTACCTTTGTTTGTTTGTTTGTTTCTGCCACTCCAGCCTCGTAATCTGACACTCCAGTGCCACTGAGTAAGCCATACCTGCTCAGGTAGCATCTGTTCGACTGCGGATTGTAACCTGAGCTTGCTGGCGAGATGATGGCCCTTTTCTGAAAGCTCCTCATTTGGAGGCCAATAACAATGCTGTGAAGAGTTTGCATCTACCTTCTGAACCTTTTTCCTGGTCCTGACGCTTCTTCTACCCAAGGAAACTATGCCACAGGTGCCGTTGAATTCTGTGGCTCTCCATCCCCCATTTCCAACGCAATGAAATACACTGAATCTCACGTCATGGAAGAGTTATGGTGGACACCTCCTCAACTGCCTTGGATTCTTCCTTCTAGAGCCATTTTAGGATTGCTGAGCCCATGAGTAGAATGCCAGCCTTGCTATGGGATAAACTGTGCAATCTCCGGGCATTCGTGATGCATCCGTTTCCTTGTTCGACATTGCTCAGCTGCTTCGGCAGTGTGACAGAAAGCACACCTGTCGATCAAAGTCAGCCCACCTGCCTAACCCCTGAAGAGCAACAAAAGCTGGAGCCAGAGGTCGCCGTCTGTGGGCAGCCGCTACCTTTAAGGTGCACCCTGAGGCACCACAGAGATGCAGCTAGAGAAGAAGTCTTCAGACCCAACAACTGTGCAGAGGGACACAACACTGCAAATTGCAATTCCAGCAGACATGTTGGGGTCCCTTCCGTGGCTATTATGCCTCTGGATTCAGCTCTGTTTCCTGATGAAACTTTGGGACGTGACACATCCACGGTTCTTACACAAATCCCAAGACCGTCCATCATCCAAGTGCCAAAGGTAAGTCCATCTTATCTTTAACCAGCCGAGGTGTACAGTTCCCGTCAGGTAGCTCACACGGAGGGTTGCCAGGCAAATTCTGACCTTTGATACACCTCATATGACCTGCCTTGTTTTCTTAGGGACTGAACAAAAACGGAACAGGATGGGTAGAAATGAAATTCTGTCTCTTCAGCTAAATAGCTCGAGGGGCTGATTATTTGAAATTGAAACGCCATCATCCCCTCCAGAAAAAAGAAAACATAATTTAACATTTAAAAAATGTAGGTCGTTCCTCAATCATGGAGGATAAACATTGATGTGATGGTTGTTTTTTTTTAAAAAAATTGATTTATATGCCGCCCTTCTCCGGAGACTCAGGGCAGCTTACAATGCGTTAAGCAATAGCCTTCATCCTTTTGTATATTTATACAAAGTCAGCTTATTGCCCCCACAATCTGGGTCCTCATTTCCCCTACCTTAGAAAGGATGGAAGGCTGAGTCAACCTTGAGCCTGGTGAGATTTGAACTTGCAGTAATTGCAAGCAGCAGATGTTAATAACAGTGCATTAGTCCACTGTACTACAGGCTCTTACGTTCCAATGAATATCAACATGGACCACCTATCTAAACAAAGAATGATACCATAAATGCTTCTGTATCAAAGCCATAGTTTATTAATATGATTTTTGATGACATCATTCTATAAATATAGACAAAAGATCATTACTAGGAATAAATGCATCCCATGTTCCCTCACTAGGTTGTAGCAGAAGCCGAGTCTTCTAACACCAAGAAAAGCTTTTGATATAGGATGGCTGTATGATGCATTGCTTCAGATCCTTGGCCAGACAAATTTAAAGCAGATTTTGCCAAGAAAGAATTACAAAGCACCTTAAATAAAAGGAATGGTTGCTACTTGATTATACTCAGCTTAGGTGGAAAAAGCAAGCAAGATATTACATTAAAAATGCCTGATTTGTGTATGGAGATTCTCAGTCATCCAGGCCATGATTGTCCCAAAGGTGCTTTTTCAAAAGGCAATTAGCCTATTTGTTTGTTTTTCCTTGAAGACGGTTTGCTTCTCATCCAAGAAGCTTCTTCAGTTTCTCAGTTCAGAACTGAAGAAGCTTCTTGGATGAGAAGTGAAACATCTTCAAGGAAAAACAAAGAAATAGACTAATTGCCTTTTGAAAAAGCACCTTTTTGGGACAAGTGTATGAATTGTTTATCATGGAGTAAATTAATTCTCATGAGCTTAGATTTCATTCCTTTTGTATCGTTCAACTTGGCTTCTACTTTCCCTGCTAAACAGCTGTCCTTGGCTTTTTAAAAAAGCAAAACGAAAAAGTATGGATATTTCAGATAATCACTTTCAATGAAATTAAGTTCATGGAGATATCCACAGGGTATGCTTATAAAAGTCAATGTAGGAATCCCATCAAGGCCATCAAAGCTCTACATCACTAATGGAAAAACATAATTTGACCCAGTCATGCATTAGTTTTAAAGATCTCTGGAAAAGAAATGGACAAAACAGATATTTATAGAAAAAAATATAGTTTTCTCCCCTTCCTGATTCAGTTAGCAGTATGAATGGAGAAGAATTTATTTAGTTCATATCCCAAAATGGTTTATCTATTTTCCATTTTTCAATCCAAGTCATTTAATCGTCATTTGAAATTCACTAGTTCTTTGAATTTTGCAATTAAAAAATTCCCAATAAGAAGAAAGTCCCCTAATTTCTATCGATATAAACATTTGCATGCCTATGTATATTTTAAAAATTTATAAAATATATATAGATATTTTAAAATATATTTTAAAAAAATAATAAAATGCCTGCAAAAACTATGCAATCGGGCAAAATTGCAAATAATAAAAATAAATAAATAGATAAAATGAAAATAAAAATGCACCAATGAGGCAAATTTGTTTTAAACCCAGACCTTTTTCAAAATTCTCAAACTGAACTTTGACATATTTGCAAAAATTGGAAACTCCTTATTTTTAGGTTTTAAATTATAGCCTGGGTACCAGCTAAACCAGTTAATCTGCATTCATGATGTTTAATATTGCAAACGAAGTCTGAATGAGATTTTTATCAATCTAGAACAAGAAGAATAATCCTCATAGCTGCCTCTTGAATTATCTAATAAACAAGAACATTAACTGGCGTTTTAATAATGTCGGTAAATTAATAGTCTTGTTCCCTTCAGCATTTCCATTCTGCATGCTCACCCTCATGAATATATTCCGCTGTATTTCCATTAATGTAACAGGCATTTCATTCTCAGTTTTTCAGTGATCTTAACACTCAAATGTGCAAACTAACTTCACTCCGGGGAAGAATGTGGTGTGAACAGATGTTCTGAAAATCTTGTCCAGATATTTGATCCGTGGTGCACGCAGTCATATTCGTGTGCACGCAGTAATGTCTGAATGATACAACTGCCCAGAGAAGAACACCAAAATATTATTGAACTCTGATTTTTCTTCATTCAATGCAGACTTCCCACTCGGTTCTGTGTCCGTGTTATTCTCAGAATTCTTATTATTTGCATGCATTAAATATTCCCTTTGCCAATTAGACACTAATGTGGTACTGATTTTATGTGCATATTAAACGAACCGCAGGAAACGCTTGAAGTCCCACACAAATGAAATCCCAAAGGAGAAGCTGTTTCCTCTTTAAAGAGGGAGGAAAAAAAGGGAAAAAACATGTAATCCTAACCTTGCAAAATCTTATTTGTTTGGACTTTAAGCATCGTATCATTTCAGGAAGCCGTCCAACTGTGTTTGCAAAGAAGGGATTCTAAAAATTGAAGATACTACGGACACAACCACACACTCCTTCTTTTTAACCTGTGTCGTAATGACATCAAAACCTCACCTTCTTGATTTTTTGGGGTTTTTTATTAAATCCTCTCCCTACTAAACTGGAGGGTAGATCCTGCAACAAATAGAAAGGAGATTGGCGAACAGGGAACGAATTCGAAAGATCCAAGCATTTGCTTTCTATCCTAAGCTGACAAAATCGTTTTTCCTCTTTTTCTGTTACTGTACAATTGATCGATGTTTAACAGTAACAGAGTTGGAAGGGACCTTGGAGGACATCTATTCCAACCCCCTGCTCACGCAGGAGGCCTGTATTAGGGATTCGAACCGCCGAATTGCCAACCTTTCCAATCAACAAGCTCCGTGTCTTAGCCACTGAGCCACCTAGTTTTATTTGTTTCAGTTATATTTGTTTCACTGCAGAAATGGGCATTAACGCTTGGCTACCGTGCCTGGCAACAGATCAATTACAGGCAGTCCTCGACTTACGACTGCAACCGAGAGCCCAAAATTTCTGTTGCTAAGCGAGACATTTGTTAAGTGAGTTTTGCCCCATTTTACGACCTTTCTTGCCACGGTTGTTCAGTGAATCACTCCAGCTCTTAAGTTAGTAACCTGGTTGTTAAGTGAATCTGGCTTCCCCATCGACTTTACTTGTCAGAAGGTCGCAAAAGGAAATCACGTGACCCACAGGGACCCTGCAAACCATCATAAATATGAATCAGTGCCAAAAAATCCAACATTTAATCACATGACCACGGGGATGCTGTACGTTGTACGTACGAAAAACTATCTCTTTTTCCAGTGCCGTTGTAACTTCAAACGGTCCTTAAATGAACCGTGAAATGGAACATAACAGAAGCATTTTAATTCCGATGGACCAAGATGATGCTACAA